CTCTGGAACTCTATCCCCAGTGCCTTCGCCGCTTCCTCCCTTTCCTCCTTCAAGGCCGGTCTCAAGACCTTTCTCTTCAACCGTGCCTTCAGCTCCCCTCTCGACTCTCTACCCCCTCCTCGCTCTCTCCCTTCCCTCCCTCACCCTGACCATTTCCCCAATGCTCGGGTCCCGACCCAACTGTACAGCGCCTTGGGACGTCCTCCCGACGTGAAAGGCGCTCTATAAATGGAATCTTGTTGTTGTTGTTCTAACCTTGGGTCAGTCCTGACATAATAATAACAATCCTTGCATTTGATATAGCGCCTTATCACGTCTTCTAGACGTCTCAAAGCGTTTCACAGGATACACTGCAAAGTGAATTGACTATTTTGTGGGCGAAACATGGCAGCCAATTGCACACAGCAGCGTCCCACAAACAGTCGTGGGTTGAGTGACCGCATTATTATTATTATCAGAATAAACAGAATAGATTATATTAGGCTCTGTGTGGAGTAAGGAAACTTGCCCGAGGTTTGACCCTCTGCCTGGAATTGAACTCAGGTCTCTCACTTGCAAAGCGAGTGCTCTAACCACTGAGCTACAGGACTCCACAGGACCAGCTTCAAGCTCCGAATACTTCACACTGTAACCGAAACACAACAGACTTGGAGGGTTACATAACAACAGGAGTAGACTATTCAGTCTCTCGAGCCTGTTCCCTGATTTTATAAGATCATGGCTGACTGCCTTAAGTTCAATTAACCACCCTTTTCCCCACATCCCTTGATGCCCTGAACCTAACAAGTAGTGTGGTGCTGACACTGGTAGAGAGTAGAGAGGCAATATCATGGCAATGTTGAGGAAGCTCCATTTAATACTACATTAAATGGCAGTAGGTTGGACCCTGCTTGTTAGTCGATTGGCAGATCGCTTTCTGGGGCTGGTAATCACTTAAACAAAAATTAGGGTTGGATGTAGGGTTTGGGTTTAGGGTCAGGTTTGGTTTTGGGTTAGGGTACGACCTAAACCACTCAAGGACAGGGCCTTGAAGGTTGAGGTGGAGGACAAGCGGTGGAGGAGGATAGAGTGGTCGACCGTATCGAATGCGGCCGATAGGTCGAGGAGGACGAGGAGGCAGAGGGAGCACTGGTCACAGATGGTCAGGATGTCATTGGTGACCTTGACCAGAGGGCAGCTTCTGTGCTATGGGCAGCACCGAAACCTGACTGAAGGGGTTCGAATAATGAGTGGGTGGAGAGGAAAGAGAGCAGCTGTGAGGCCACAACGCGTTCCAGGACCTTGGACAGGAAGGGGAGGTTGGGGATGGGCCGGAGATTGATAGCTGCGACGTATCAATGGAGGGGTTTTCCAAAACGATGATGGCAGTTTTTGACGGGAGTGTGGGACGGAGGGGGTGGGGGGAGGGTGGAAGTTGGAGGGGGAGTGACCCTTAATTTTGGATTCAAGGAAATCCAGCATCTCCTCACAGTGAAGGCGTTGACAGGAGCCAGGAGGATGGATTCACCTGGTCACCAGAGGACTGAATATAACAGTTGTATTTGATACAGCGCTTTATCGTGTCTTCGAGACATCTCAAAGAGTTTCACGGGGGTAGACTGTCAAGTGTCGTGACTTGTGTATCTTGTGGGCGAACCACGGCAGCCAATTGTGCAGAGCGACGTTCCCACAAACAGCCGTGGACTGAGTGACCCAATTATTATTATTATTTATTATTTTGAAGGAATTATTACTCCCGGAAAAAGGATCCGCCAATCGACTAAGAAGAGGGTTCCTGGTTACTGCTGAGCAAACAGAGGCGTGTGGTGTGTTTGGGGAGTCAGGAAACTTGCCCAAAGTTTTGCCCGGACCTGAGCGATCAGCAGTCACTCCGGGCCCTCCCGCCTGTGCGGAGAGTGGAACAGTTTCAATAACCTCCAAATAGACGCCCAGATTCCTGTGACTTCCACCTCCAACACAATCCATTCCCCTCACAGTGTAATCTGCTCCTGTGTGACGGCTGTCGGCGCTGAGGATCTTTACTGTATAAAAACATATGATTCAATAAAACTGATTTCTCATCAGTGACAGAAACTGATTTGTCATCAAAATAACAGAGCCACAGAGAGTTAACAATGGCGACCGCTCCCGCGCTCTCCAGGTCCGCTTCTGTCCCAGGAGGCTTTGCGGTACTGGAGGCGTGACCGCTAAAGCGATGCATTGTGGGGAGTTCCGCCGGGACGGATTTCGTCACTTCCGACTCCGGAAACAGCTCCAGTGAGTGTTTCACATCAACTTGTTGTTGTTTATCCACCTCTAACCCCGCCCCTAACCCCGCCCCGTCCACAGCCCCGCCCCCAACCCCGCCCCCAGCCCCGCCCACCGCACACAGCCCCGCCCACCCCAACCCCGCCCCCAACCCCCAGCCCCCCACCCGCCCCCAGCCCCGCCCCCAAGCCCCGCCCCCGCCCAGCCCCGCCCACCGCACCAGCCCCGCCCAGCCACAGCCCCGCCCAGCCCCGCACACAGCCCCGCCCCCGCACACCCCGCCCCCCACAGCCCCGACCCCACAGCCCCGCCACCAGCCCACAGCCCCGCCGCACACAGCCCCGCCCACCGCACACAGCCCCGCCCACACCCGCCCCCGCACACAGCCCCGCCCCCGCCACAGCCCCGCCCAGCCCGCCCCGCAACCCCGACCGCACCAGCCCCGCCCACCGCCACAGCCCCGCCCACCGCACACAGCCCCGCCCACAGCCCGCCCAGCCAGCCCGCCCACCGCACACAGCCCCGCCCACCGCACACAGCCCCGCCCCACAGCCCCACACCGCACACCCCGCCCAAGCCCGCCCACAGCCCCGCCCCACCACAGCCCCGCCCACAACCCGCCCCCACGCCCAACCCCGCCACAGCCCCGCCACGCACACAGCCCCGCCGCCAACCCCACCCCACCCCACACAGCCCCGCCCACACAGCCCCAGACCCCAGCCCCGCCACACACAGACCCCGCCCACCCACAACCTCCGCCCACGCACACAGCTCCCGTCCCGCACAGCCCCGCCTCCACCCCGCCCCCACCTCCAGCCCCCCCCCAACCCCGCGCCCCACCCCGAACACCCCAATCCACGCCCAACCACACCCCAAACCCGCCACCACCCCCTTAAACCCCAGCCCCCAACCCCCGCACCGCACCCCACCCCCGCAACCACCCAAAGCCCGCCCCCAACCGCCCTAACCCCCAACCCCCCCCCAACCCCGAACTCCCGCCCCAAACCCACAAACCCCAAACCCAACCCCATCCCAACCCCAACCCCACCAACCCCCAAACCCTGCCCCCCAACCATTCAAACCCATCCCAACCCCACAACCCCCGCCCCCAACCCCCCAATCGCCGCTCCCAACCCCCGTCCCCCAAACCACCGCCCCAACCCTTAACCCCTGCCCCATCCCCAAACCTCCCAACCCCAGCCACCCCTCAACACCGCCCCAACCCCACCCCCAACCACCAACCGCCAACCCGCCCCCAACCCCACCCCCCAACCACCAACCCCAGCCCCCAATCCCAACCCCCAGCCCCAAACCCCAACCCCCCAACCCCCTAATCCCCAACCCCGCCCCCTCACTCCCCCCCCCACCTCACTCCAGTACAAGATAAACTGGTTTGTCGTCATTATTTATAGGTCGGACGGACTGAGCGGAAACCGGGCAGAAGATGGAAACGGGTGAGGAGACGGGCCAGAAGAGCGAACAGAGACCCACGTCGAGGGGGAGCCAGGGTCCCGGGGGAAGCCAGGGGCCCGGTTGGAGGAGTCTCTCCGCTTCCAATGCTCCGTCTGCGGAAGGGATTCCAGGCTCCCGTCCGCCCTGGACATCCACCGGCGCACGCACACTGGCGAGAAGCCGTTTGAGTGCTCGGTGTGCGCAAGGCTTCAGACGTGCGCCTCAAGCTGGGTCCACCAGCGCACCCACACGGCGGAGAGCCGCCTGCAGTGCCCGCGTGTCGCGAGAAGCGTTTCAATCTCCGCCCAGCTAGCTGCTGCTACACCAGAGTCGCATCACGGGAGAGACAGCCTTACCCTCTCGAGTCGCGTGTGCAAGCGCTTCAACACCTCGAGCGGCCTGGTCTACCACCAGCGTTCCCACGTCCTCGAGCGTCCTACCGCTGCCCAGCGTGCGACAAGAGCTTCAAGTCGCCCGTCTACCTGTCTGTTCACCAGCGCATCCACACGGGGCAGAAACCCTTCCAGTGCGCCCTGTGCGACAAGCGCTTCAACGCCTCGACTCACCTCTTGTATCACCAGCGATACCACACGGGGGAGAAGCCCTTTGCGCTGCGCTCAGTGTCCGAAGAGGTTCAGCTCCTCCAGCAGCCTCCTGAAGCACAGGCGCAGCCATCACAGCCACACACCCTTCTCCTGCTCGCTGTGCGAGCAGCGCTTTCACTCCCCCGCCTCCCTGGCTCAGCACCAGCTCTCACACGCGCACTCGCACCCCACTCTGGCACCATTCCAGTGCTGCGTGTGCGAGCAGCGTTTCAGGCTGGCCAGGGACCTGCTGGTCCATCACAGGGGTCACTCGACAACCCCTGGTCACTCCGCTCAGTGACCCATCACTCTACCAGTCAACAGCAGCACAGGGATACGTGTCGGAACGCTTCACAGTCGAGGAGTCTGACCCGAGCCATGTGGGGAGAGGGAGGGGGCAAGTGATCGTGAATACTCACCCATACTAAACTCCATCACCCCCGCCCTCCCCAGCCCTCGCCAGGCCTCGCCAGCTCTCGCCAGCCCTCCCCAGCCCTCGCCAGGCCTCGCCAGCCCTCCCCAGCCCTCGCCAGCCCTCCCCAGCCCTCGCCAGCTCTCGCCAGCCCTCCCCAGCCCTCCCCAGCCCTCCCCAGGCTCCCCAGCCCTCCCCAGCCCTCGCCAGCCCTCCCCAGCCCTCGCCAGCCCTCGCCAGCTCTCGCCAGACTCCACTGGCTCCCTATCACATATACTAAACTTCCTGTCATCGAACGGATCAACTTCAAGATCCTCTCATTCATCTTCAAATCCCTTCACGCCCTCGGACCTGCTCACCCCCCCACTGCCCCGCCCGCTGCCTCTGCTCGACTGGCTCTTTTATTGATGATAAAAACACCTCCGACAGCCACCAACAGGCAGCATTAACAACAATAATCCTTGCATTTGATGTAGTGCTTCATCATGTCGTCGAGACGGCTCAAAGGATATACCGTGAAGTGGCTTGACTGTGTTATTTTGTTGGTGAAATGCAGCAGGCGGCTTCGCACAGCGACCAAGAGCGAGTGAGCGATTTTACCTGGGGGTTGTCGGCCAGGACACTGGGAGAGAGACAGAGAGAGAAATTCCCTTTTCTTTTTGAATAGCACCATGGAAGATCTTTAATATCTATCAACCTGAACAGGCAGATGGGTCCTGGGTCCTGCAACACTCCCCCACAGCGCTGAATTGGAGCGTCAGCTTAGATTGTGATGATTCCAAGTCCCGACATGGGACTTGAGCCCACAACCTGATTCGGAGGCAAGCGAGAGAGCGCAACCACTGAGCCGGGCTGACACACACACACACACACACACTGAGCCGGGCTGACACACACACACACACACACACACACACACTGAGCCGGGCTGACACACACACACACACACACTGAGCCGGGCTGACACACACACACACACTGAGCCGGGCTGACACACACACACACACACACACACTGAGCCGGACTGAGAGATAAACCATAACTTGGGGAAATTGATCCGCCAGTTAACTTAACAACCAAGTTCCTACTTACTGCTGGTAAACAGAAGACCGGCCGCCATTGCCTGCCCTGCTCCTCACTGCGCCTGCGCTACCCTCCACCCCTCGCCCCTCACTGCTCTCCACTGCGCAAACCCCGCCCACCCTACACAGTCACTACACTCTTGGTCTTGGTGTTGGTCCCCACTACCTCTGCGACCCCCTAACCCCCCAGCATTGCTGCCCACTGCCCCGCCCCGCGGGCTCCGGCTGCTTCACGTCCCCCCACCTCGCTCGCCCCACCATTGGCGGCCGGACCTGCCACCCCCACCCTCTGACCTCCATCGCGCAGTCCCTCTGCCGCCCCCTCCCTCACCACTGTCAGGACCCTCCTCCGCGATGTGCTTCCCTGACCTCACCACAGGTTCCCCGGTCTCTTTTCCCCGAATGCGCAGGAGATCTGTAACATCCGCTCTGAACACACGGCAAAGACAGGAAGTCAGTGAGTTAACATCTCGTGTGAAGGACAGTGTCTCTCTCTCTCCCTCTCGCGCTCTCCCCACCACAGCTCTGCACTGGAGCGTCAGTCTGGACTGTGTGGGTTCCTGCGCTGTTTGACTCACACTCCACACCACACTCACACTCCACACTCCACACCTCCCCCTTCTCACTCCCAAACGGCAGCTCTCGCCGCCCCGAGCCTAATACTCCCCGGAATCAGGTCAGCAGTGCGCCCCTCCGCGGAGAGAGAGAGCACATTCCATTCCAACAATCTATCGCTGAGAATTTCCGTGTGTAGGTGGGAGGACAGGAATTCTCCGCTTGGTTTGGAGACTCTTAAGCAACGATGATGGGTTTCCATGTGTATCAGATCCCTGGTCAAAAAAAAACTGGTTTTGCCTTCCTTTTATACTCTAGACTTTTCAAATGCTTTTTTGTCTTCACCTCCTTATTCATCCACGGGATCCCATCGTTCATTACTCTTCCCTTATTTCTTAATGCAGTAGATTTTTCCTGCACGTTTCCAACTTAAAAATGCTTAAAAGTCTTATTAATTCCTCAGACCATAATAATTAGCTTATTCCGAGTCTCTTTCCTTTTCTACCAGAACGTGATAATCCCCTACGCCCCACCCACCATGGGCGCGGCTATTATGCTTTGGGTGGGGTGTGATGTGTTCTGTGGGTGAGACTGGTGTGTGCCGTGGGCGGGGCTGGTGTGCAGTGGGCGGGGCTGGTGTGCAGTGGGTGGGGCTGGGTTGTGCAGTGGGCGGGGCTAGTGTGCACAGTGGGCGTGGCTGGTGTGCTCCATGGGCGGGGCTGGTGTGTGCTGTGGGCGGGGCTGGTGTGTGCCGTGGGCGGGGCTGGTGTGTGCAGTGGGCGGGGCTGTGGGCGGTGGGCGGGGCTGTGTCCAGTGGGCGGGGCTGTGTGCAGTGGGCGGGGCTGTGTGCAGTGGGCGGGGCTGTGTGCGTGGGCGGGGCTGTGTGCGGTGGGCGGGGCTGTGTGCGGTGGGCGGGGCTGTGTGCAGTGGGCGGGGCTGTGTGCGGTGGGCGGGGCTGTGTGCGGTGGGCGGGGCTGTGTGTGGTGGGCGGGGCTGTGTGCGGTGGGCGGGGCTGTGTGCGGTGGGCGGGGCTGTGGGCGGTGGGCGGGGCTGTGGGCGGTGGGCGGGGCGGTGGGCGGGGCTGTGGGCGGTGGGCGGGGCTGTGTGCGGTGGGCGGGCTGTGGGCGGGCTGTGTGCGGTGGGCGGGGCTGTGGGCGGGGCTGTGTGCGGTGGGCGGGGCTGTGTGCGGTGGGCGGGGCTGTGTGCGGTGGGCGGGGCTGTGTGCGGTGGGCGGGGCTGTGTGCGGTGGGCGGGGCTGTGTGCGGTGGGCGGGGCTGTGTGCGGTGGGCGGGGCTGTGTGCGGTGGGCGGGGCTGTGTGCGGTGGGCGGGGCTGTGTGCGGTGGGCGGGCGGTGGGCGGGGCTGTGTGCGGTGGGCGGGGCTGTGTGCGGTGGGCGGGGCTGTGTGCGGTGGGCGGGGCTGTGATGGGGTGGGCGGGGCTGTGTGCGGTGGGCGGGGCTGTGTGCGGTGGGCGGGGCTGTGTGCGGTGGGCGGGGCTGTGTGCGGTGGGCGGGGCTGTGTGCGGTGGGCGGGGCTGTGTGCGGTGGGCGGGGCTGTGGGCGGTGGGCGGGGCTGTGTGCGGTGGGCGGGGCTGTGTGCGGTGGGCGGGGCTGTGTGCGGTGGGCGGGGCTGTGTGCGTGGGCGGGGCTGTGTGCGGTGGGCGGGGCTGTGTGCGGTGGGCGGGGCTGTGATGGGGTGGGCGGGGCTGTGTGCGGTGGGCGGGGCTGTGGGCGGGGCTGTGTGCGGTGGGCGGGGCTGTGATGGGGTCAGGCCGTGTGGGAGCAGCACTCAGTATTGACCAGGGATCAAAATGTGGCCAATATTTATGTGCTGCTAAAACACAACCGACTGCTCACCCCCATCCTCACCCCCATCACCCCCTCCCTCACCCCCATCCTCCCCTCCCTCACCCCCATCCTCACCCCCATCCTCCCCTCCCTCACCCCCATCCTCACCCCCATCCTCCCCTCCCTCACCCCCATCCTCACCCCCATCCTCCCCTCCCTCACCCCATCCTCACCCCATCCTCACCCCCATCATCCCTCCCTCACCATCCTCACCCCATCACCCCTCCCTCACCCTCATCATCCCCTCCCTCACCCCCATCCTCACCCCCATCCTCCCCTCCCTCACCCCCATCCTCACCCCCATCCTCACCCCCATCATCCCCTCCCTCACCATCCTCACCCCCATCACCCCTCCTCACCCTCATCATCCCCTCCCTCACCCCCATCCTCACCCCCATCACCCCTCCCTCACCCTCATCATCCCCTCCCTCACCCCATCCTCACCCCCATCCTCCCCTCCCTCACCCCCATCCTCACCCCATCCTCACCCCATCCTCACCCCCATCCTCACCCCCATCATCCCCTCCCTCACCCCCATCCTCCCCTCCCTCACCCCCATCCTCACCCCATCCTCCCATCCTCACCCCCATCCTCCCCTCCTCACCCCCATCCTCACCCCCATCATCCCCTCCCTCACCCCCATCCTCACCCCATCATCCCTCCCTCACCCCCTCCCTCACCCCCATCATCCTCTCCCTCACCCCCATCCTCACCCCATCATCCCTCCCTCACCCCCTCCCTCACCCCCATCATCCCCTCCCTCACCCCCATCCTCGCCCCCATCTTCTGTTTACCAGCAGTAAGTAGGAACTTGGTTGTTAAGTTAACTGGCGGATCAATTTCCCCAAGTTATGGTTTATCTCTCAGTCCGGCTCAGTGTGTGTGTGTGTGTGTGTGTCAGCCCGGCTCAGTGTGTGTGTGGTGTGTGTCAGCCCGGCTCAGTGTGTGTGTGTGTGAGTGTGTGCGTGTGTGTCAGCCCGGCTCAGTGTGTGTGTGTGTGCGTGTGTGTGTCAGCCCGGCTCAGTGTGTGTGTGTGTGTGTCAGCCCGGCTCAGTGTGTGTGTGTGTGTGTGTCAGCCCGGCTCAGTGTGTGTGTGTGTGTGTGTCTGTGTGTGTCAGCCCGGCTCAGTGTGTGTGTGTGTGTGTGTGTGTCAGCCCGGCTCAGTGTGTGGTGTGTGTGTGTGTGTGTGTCAGCCCGGCTCAGTGGTTGCGCTCTCTCTCGCTTGCCTCCGAATCAGGTTGTGGGCTCAAGTCCCCATGTCGGGACTTGGAATCATCACAATCTAAGCTGACGCTCCAATTCAGCGCTGTGGGGGAGTGTTGCAGGACCCAGGACCCATCTGCCTGTTCAGGTTGATAGATATTAAAGATCTTCCATGGTGCTATTCAAAAAGAAAAGGGAATTTCTCTCTCTGTCTCTCTCCCAGTGTCCTGGCCGACAACCCCCAGGTAAAATCGCTCACTCGCTCTTGGTCGCTGTGCGAAGCCGCCTGCTGCATTTCACCAACAAAATAACACAGTCAAGCCACTTCACGGTATATCCTTTGAGCCGTCTCGACGACATGATGAAGCACTACATCAAATGCAAGGATTATTGTTGTTAATGCTGCCTGTTGGTGGCTGTCGGAGGTGTTTTTATCATCAATAAAAGAGCCAGTCGAGCAGAGGCAGCGGGCGGGGCAGTGGGGGGGTGAGCAGGTCCGAGGGGCGTGAAGGGATTTGAAGATGAATGAGAGGATCTTGAAGTTGATCCGTTCGATGACAGGAAGTTTAGTATATGTGATAGGGAGCCAGTGGAGTCTGGCGAGAGCTGGCGAGGGCTGGGGAGGGCTGGGGAGGGCTGGCGAGGGCTGGGGAGGGCTGGCGAGGGCTGGGGAGGGCTGGGGAGGGCTGGGGAGGGCTGGCGAGAGCTGGCGAGGGCTGGGGAGGGCGGGGGTGATGGAGTTTAGTATGGGTGAGTATTCACGATCACTTGCCCCCCTCCCTCTCCCCACATGGCTCGGGGTCAGACTCCTCGACTGTGAAGCGTTCCGACACGTATCCCTGTGCTGCTGTTGACTGGTAGAGTGATGGGTCACTGAGCGGAGTGACCAGGGGTTGTCGAGTGACCCCTGTGATGGACCAGCAGGTCCCTGGCCAGCCTGAAACGCTGCTCGCATACGCAGCACTGGAATGGTGCCAGAGTGGGGTGCGAGTGCGCGTGTGAGAGCTGGTGCTGAGCCAGGGAGGCGGGGGAGTGAAAGCGCTGCTCGCACAGCGAGCAGGAGAAGGGTGTGTGGCTGTGATGGCTGCGCCTGTGCTTCAGGAGGCTGCTGGAGGAGCTGAACCTCTTCGGACACTGAGCGCAGCCAAAGGGCTTCTCCCCCGTGTGGTATCGCTGGTGATACAAGAGGTGAGTCGAGGCGTTGAAGCGCTTGTCGCACAGGGCGCACTGGAAGGGTTTCTGCCCCGTGTGGATGCGCTGGTGAACAGACAGGTAGACGGGCGACTTGAAGCTCTTGTCGCACGCTGGGCAGCGGTAGGGACGCTCGAGGACGTGGGAACGCTGGTGGTAGACCAGGCCGCTCGAGGTGTTGAAGCGCTTGCCGCACTCCGAGCAGGGGTAAGGCCTGTCCCCTGAATGCGACCGCTGGTGGTACAGCAGACTGCTGGGCCGGTTGAAACGCCTCGCGCACTGCGGGCACTGCAGGGGCTGCTGGCCGGTGTGCGTGCGCTGGTGGTACAGCAGGCTGCTGGACGTGTTGAAGCGCTTGGCGCACTCCGAGCACTCAAACGGCTTCTCGCCAGTGTGCGTGCGCCGGTGGATGTCCAGGGCGGACGGAGCCTGGAATCCCTTCCCGCAGACGGAGCATTGGAAGCGGAGAGACTCCTCCAACCGGGCCCCTGGCTTCCCCCGGGACCCTGGCTCCCCCTCGACGTGGGTCTCTGTTCGCTCTTCTGGCCCCGTCTCCTCACCCGTTTCCATCTTCTGCCCGGTTTCCGCTCAGTCCGTCCGACCTATAAATAATGACGACAAACCAGTTTATCTTGTACTGGAGTGAGGTGGGGGGGGAGTGAGGGGGCGGGGTTGGGGATTAGGGGGTTGGGGGTTGGGGTTTGGGGCTGGGGGTTGGGATTGGGGGCTGGGGTTGGTGGTTGGGGGGTGGGGTTGGGGGCGGGGGTTGGCGGTTGGTGGTTGGGGGTGGGGTTGGGGCGGTGTTGAGGGGTGGCTGGGTTGGGAGGTTTGGGGATGGGGGCAGGGGTTAAGGGTTGGGGCGGTGGTTTGGGGGACGGGGGTTGGAGCGGCGATTGGGGGGTTGGGGGCGGGGGTTGTGGGGTTGGGATGGGGTTTGATGGTTGGGGGGCAGGGTTTGGGGGTTGGTGGGGTTGGGGTTGGGATGGGGTTGGGTTTGGGGTTTGTGGGTTTGGGGCGGGAGTTCGGGGTTGGGGGGGGGTTGGGGTTAGGGCGGTTGGGGGCGGGCTTTGGGTGGTTGCGGGGGTGGGGTGCGGTGCGGGGGTTGGGGGCTGGGGGTTTAAGGGGGTGGTGGCGGGGTTTGGGGTGTGGTTGGGCGTGGATTGGGGTGTTCGGGGGTGGGGCGCGGGGTTGGGGGCGGGGCTGGAGGTGGGGGCGGGGGTGGAGGCGGGGCTGAGGACGGAGCTGGGGGGCGAGGTTGGGGTGGGGGCGGGGTTGTGGGGCGGGGCTGGGGTTGGGGCTGAGGGCGGGGTTGGGGGTGGGGTTGGGGTTGGAGGCGGGGTTGGGGGCGGGGCTGTGGGCGGGGTTGGGGTGGGGGCGGAGTTGTGGGCGGGGTTGTGGGGCGGGGCTGTGGGCGGGGTTGGGGCGGGGTTGGGGTGGGGCTGGGGGCGGGGCTGGGACTGGGCGGGGTTGGGGGCGGGACTGGGACTGGGACTGGGCGGGCTGGGGGCGGGGCTGGGACTGGGCGGGGCTGGGACTGGGCGGGGCTGGGGGCGGGGTTGGGGGCGGGACTGGGCGGGGCCGGGGGCGGGGCTGGGACTGGGGGCGGAGTTGTGGGCGGGGCTGGGCTGGGGGCGGGGCTGGGGGCGGGGTTGGAGCTGGGGGCGGGGCTGGGGGCGGGGTTGGGGGGCTGGGGTTGGGGGCGGGGCTGATGGCGGGGCTGGGGGCGGGGCTGGGACTGGGCGGGGCTGGTGGCGGGTTGGGGGCGGGGCTGGGACTGGGGGCGGGGTTGGGGGCGGGGCTGGGGGCGGAGTTGGGGGGGCTGGGGTTGGGGCGGGGTGGGGGGGTGGGGGCGGGGCTGGGACTGGGCGGGGCTGGGGGCGGGGTTGGGGGCGGGGCTGGGACTGGGGCGGGGTTAGGGGCGGGGTTAGAGGTGGATAAACAACAACAAGTTGATGTGAAACACTCACTGGAGCTGTTTCCGGAGTCGGAAGTGACGAAATCCGTCCCGGCGGAACTCCCCACAATGCATCGCTTTAGCGGTCACGCCTCCAGTACCGCAAAGCCTCCTGGGACAGAAGCGGACCTGGAGAGCGCGGGAGCGGTCGCCATTGTTACTCTGTGGCTCTGTTATTTTGATGACAAATCAGTTTCTGTCACTGATGAGAAATCAGTTTTATTGAATCATATGTTTTTATACAGTAAAGATCCTCAGCGCCGACAGCCGTCACACAGGAGCAGATTACACTGTGAGGGGAATGGATTGTGTTGGAGGTGGAAGTCCACAGGAATCTGGGCGTCTATTTGGAGGTTATTGAAACTGTTCCACTCTCCGCACAGGCGGGAGGGCCCCGGAGTGACTGCTGATCGGCTCAGGTCCGGGCAAAACTTTGGGCAAGTTTCCTGACTCCCCCAAACACACCACACGCCTCTGTTTGCTCAGCAGTAACCAGGAACCCTCTTCTTAGTCGATTGGCGGATCCTTTTTCCGGGAGTAATAATTCCTTCAAAATAATAAATAATAATAATAATTGGGTCACTCAGTCCACGGCTGTTTGTGGGAACGTCGCTCTGCACAATTGGCTGCCGTGGTTCGCCCACAAGATACACAAGTCACGACACTTGACAGTCTACCCCGTGAAACTCTTTGAGATGTCTCGAAGACACGATAAAGCGCTGTATCAAATACAACTGTTATATTCAGTCCTCTGGTGACCAGGTGAATCCATCCTCCTGGCTCCTGTCAACACCTTCACTGTGAGGAGATGCTGGATTTCCTTGAATCCAAAATTAAGGGTCACTCCCCCTCCAACTTCCACCCTCCCCCCACCCCCTCCGTCCCACACTCCCGTCAAAAACTGCCATCATCGTTTTGGAAAACCCCTCCATTGATACGTCGCAGCTATCAATCTCCGGCCCATCCCCAACCTCCCCTTCCTGTCCAAGGTCCTGGAACGCGTTGTGGCCTCACAGCTGCTCTCTTTCCTCTCCACCCACTCATTATTCGAACCCCTTCAGTCAGGTTTCGGTGCTGCCCATAGCACAGAAGCTGCCCTCTGGTCAAGGTCACCAATGACATCCTGACCATCTGTGACCAGTGCTCCCTCTGCCTCCTCGTCCTCCTCGACCTATCGGCCGCATTCGATACGGTCGACCACTCTATCCTCCTCCACCGCTTGTCCTCCCACCTCAACCTTCAAGGCCCTGTCCTTGAGTGGTTTAGGTCGTACCCTAACCCAAAACCCAAACCTGACCCTAAACCCAAACCCTACATCCAACCCTAATTTTTGTTTAAGTGATTACCAGCCCCAGAAAGCGATCTGCCAATCGACTAACAAGCAGGGTCCAACCTACTGCCATTTAATGTAGTATTAAATGGAGCTTCCTCAACATTGCCATGATATTGCCTCTCTACTCTCTACCAAGTGTCAGCACCAACACTACTTGTTAGGTTCAGGGCATCAAGGGATGTGGGGAAAAGGGTGGTTAATTGAACTTAAGGCAGTCAGCCATGATCTTATAAAATCAGGGAACAGGCTCGAGAGACTGAATAGTCTACTCCTGTTGTTTATGTAACCCTCCAAGTCTGTTGTGTTTCGGTTACAGTGTGAAGTATTCGGAGCTTGAAGCTGGTCCTGTGGAGTCCTGTAGCTCAGTGGTTAGAGCACTCGCTTTGCAAGTGAGAGACCTGAGTTCAATTCCAGGCAGAGGGTCAAACCTCGGGCAAGTTTCCTTACTCCACACAGAGCCTAATAATAATCCCTCCAAAACCCAAAACAATAATAAAAAAAAATTGGTCATTTTCAATCTACGACTGTTTGTGGGACATTGCTGTGCGCAATTGGCTGCCGCGTTCGCCCACAAATATACAGTCAATTCACTTTACAGTGTGTTCTGTGAAGCGCTTTGGGACATCCTCCCGACGGGAAAAGCGCTATATCAAATGCAAGGATTATTATTATGTCAGGACTGACCCAAGGTTAGAACAACAACAACAAGATTCCATTTATAGAGCGCCTTTCACGTCGGGAGGACGTCCCAAGGCGCTGTACAGTTGGGTCGGGACCCGAGCATTGGGGAAATGGTCAGGGTGAGGGGAGGGAAGGGAGAGAGCGAGGAGGGGGTAGAGAGTCGAGAGGGGAGCTGAAGGCACGGTTGAAGAGAAAGGTCTTGAGACCGGCCTTGAAGGAGGAAAGGGAGGAAGCGGCGAAGGCACTGGGGATAGAGTTCCAGAGCCTTGGGGCTGACAGGCTGAAGGCCACCGATGGTAGGGCGGTTGGGGCGGGGGATGTGGAGCAGACCGGAGCCAGAGGAACGGAGGGTACGGGCAGGTAAGTAGGCGGATAGTAAGTCGGAGAAGTAGGAGGGTGCGAGGGCGTGAATGGCCGTGTAGGTGAGGATGAGGATCTTGAATTTGAATTGGACAGGAAGGGGAGGTTGGAGATGGGCCGGAGATTGATAGCTGCGACCCATCAAGGGAGGGTTTTTTTCAAAATGGGAGTGATGGTGGCAGTTTTTAAGGGAATGGGAACAGAGCCACAGGAGAGGGACAGGTTGACGATGTCTGTGATATGTGGGACAAGGAGGTGGAGCTGAGAGATAAGGAGTGGGGATGGGGTCCAGGGAGCAGGTGGTGGGTTTCAGGGACAGGATGAGGTTGGTGACAGAGGGTGGGGAACCGGGTACGAAGGTGTGTAGGGGAGGATGGGTAGGAGTCGGAGTGTGGGAGGGAGGGGGTGGGGGGTGGGTGGAAGTTGGAGGGGGAGTGACCGCGGAGCGGATTCCCTTGATTTTGGATTCAAGGAAATCCACCATCTCTCACAGTGAAGGTTGGAGGAGATGACCTGCGTGGGGTGGTGGGGGGGACGGAGGAGTCGGGATGTGGTAGAGAACAGAAGCCTGGGGTTGTTCATCGCCTCCAGGATTAGGGAAGAAGCCCCTTCAGCCCATCCAATCTGATTCCTCCAGAACACCACACCCGACATCGAGATGAGTCGAATTTCTAACCTCGTCCACCATTTTTGGCAATTTGTTCCAGACATTGAATATGTGAAGAAAGATGTCTCTGTGTCTGTCCTGAAATTGCTCTGTGTAACTGTGTCCCATCATAACACATTGTACAGTAATAATCCGGATTTATGTCTTAATCCCATTTAAAATGATATACATTTCTCTGAGTCGTCTTCTCTCCAGACTGAAGAACCTGAGTTTGTTGAGTTATTGCCCATTCCTCTGAGATTATTCTCGTTGCTCTCTGCACTCCCTGCCCCGGCCCTTCCTTCCCTCCCTCCCTGCCCCTCTCTGCCCTTCCTTCCTTCCCTCCCTGCCCCTCTCTGCCCTTCCCTCCCTCCCTCCCCCTCCCTGCCCTTCCCTCCCTCCCTGCCTCGCTTTGCCCTTCCTTCCCTCCCTGCCCCTCCATGCCCTTCGCTCCCTCCCTGCCCCTCCATGCCCTTCCCTTCCTCCCTGCCCTTCCGTCCCTGCCCGTCCCTGCCCCTCCCTGCCCTTCCCTCGCTCCCTCCCCCTCCCTGCCCTTCCCTCGCTCCCTCCCCCTTCCTGCCCTTCGCTCCCTCCCTCCGCCTCCCTGCCCTTCCCTCCCTGCCTTTCCCTGCCCCTCCCTGCCCTTCCCTCCCTCCCAGCCCCTCCCTTCCCTCCCTCCCTGCCCTTCCCTCCCTCCCTACCCCTCCCTGCCCTTCCCTCCCTCCCTGCCCTCCCTCCCTGCCCCGCTCTGCCCTTTCCTCCCTCCCTGCCCCTACATGCCCTTCCCTCCCTGCCCTTCCCTCCCTCCCTGCCCCTCCCTGCCCTTCCCTCCCTCCCTCGCCCTCCCTGCCCTACCCTCCCTCCCTCCCTCCCTGCCCTTCCATCGCTCCATCCCCCTCCTGCCCTTCCCTCGCTCCCTGCCCTTCCCTGCCCTTCCGTCCCTCCCTTCCCTCCCTCCCTGCCCTTCCCTCCCTCCCTACCCCTCCCTGCCCTTCCCTCACTTCCTCCCCCTCCCTGCCCTGCCCTTCCCTCACTCCCTGCCCCTCCCTTCCCTCCCTCCCTACCCCTCCCTGCCCTTCCCTCCCTCGATACCCCTCCCTGCCCTTCCCTCCCTCGATACCCCTCCCTGCCCTTCCTCCCTTCCTACCCTTCCCTGCCCTTCCCTCCCTCCCTACCCCTCCCTTCGGATGTCACTATTACCGACAAGGCCATCTCTGACCACCACTTCATCTCCTTCACCACCTCCACCCCCCTCCCCACCTCCACCAGACCCACCACCATCTTCTACCGCCCTTGGAAGAAGTTACCCCCACAATCCCTAACTGATGCCTTGGAGTCCTCTGAACTCCTCTCCCTCTGGCCTTCAACCCTCACCGACCCCTCTTCTCCTCTCTCCCTCCTCCACAATACCCTCTCCTCCACACTCGACACTCTGCCCCCATCACTTCCCGCACTGTCTCCTACTCCCGCTCCTCCCCCTGGTACACCACCCACCTCCGCTCACTGAAAAGCCAGGTGCGGGCTGCTGAACGTGAAAGGCGCTTTATAAATGGAATCTTGTTGTTGTTGTTGTTGCGCTTCCCTCCCTCCCTACCCCTCCCTCCCCCTCCCTACACTTTCCTCCCTCCCCTCCCTGCCCTTCCCTCCCTCCCTGCCTCGCTTTGCCCTTCCTTCCCTCCCTGCCCCTCCGTGCCCTTCCCTCCCTCCCTACCCTTCCGTCCCTGCCCCTCCCTGCCCTTCCCTCGCTCCCTCCCTCTCCCTGCCCTTCCCTCGCTCCCTGCCCTTCCCTGCCCTTCCGTCCCTCCCTCTCCCTCCCTGCCCTTCCCTCCCTCCGCCTCCCTGCCCTTCCCTCACTCCCTCCGCCTCCCTGCCCTTCCCTCCCTCCCTCCGCCTCCCTGCCCTTCCCTCCTTCCCTCCGCCTCCCTGCCCTTCCCTCCCTCACTAACCCTCCCTGCCCTTCCCTCCCTCCTTGCCCCTCCCTGCCCTTCCCTCCCTCCCTGCCCCTCCCTGCCCTTCCCTCCCTAACTAGCCCTCCCTGCACTTCACTCCCTCTCTACCCCTCCCTGCCCATCCCACCCTCCCTCCCTGCCCCTCCCCGCCCTTCCCTCCCTCCCAGCCCCTCCCCGCCCTTCCCTCCCTCCCTGCCCCTCCCTGCCCTTCTCTCCCTCCCTCCCTGCCCTTCCTTCCCTAACTATCCCTCCCTGCCCTTCCCTCCCTCCCAGCCCCTCCCCGCCCTCCCCCGCCCTTCCCTCCCTCCCTGCCCTTCCCTCCCTCCCTGCCCTTCCTTCCCTCCTCCCTGCCCTTCCCTCCCTCCCTGCCCCTCCCCCCTCCCCCCTCCCTGCCCCTCCCTGCCCTTCTCTCCCTCCCTCCCTGCCCTTCCTTCCCTAACTATCCCTCCCTGCCCTTCCCTCCCTCCCAGCCCCTCCCCGCCCTTCCCTCCCTCCCTGCCCCTCCCTGCCCTTCTCTCCCTCCCTCCCTGCCCTTCCTTCCCTAACTATCCCTCCCTGCCCTTCCCTCCCTCCCTGCTCCTCTCTGCCCTTTCCTCCCTCCCTCCCTGCCCCTCCAAACCCTTCCTTCCCTCCCTACCCCTCCCTACTCCTCTCTGCCCTTCCCTCCCCGCCCTTCCCTCCCTCCCTGCCCCTCCATATCTTTCCTTCCCTCCCTGCCCTTCCCTCTTTCCCTCCACCTCCCTCCCTGCCCTTCCCTCCCTCCCTCCCTTCCCTCCCTCCCTCCCTCGCCCTCCCTGGAATATTTTCAATTATGTTCAATAAATTTTCAATAATTTTTCAATTATTATCATTATTAATTATTGTGCATTATTATTAATCATTATGAATTATTATGAATTATTGTTAATTGTTGTTAATTATTATTAATTACTATGGCACATTTTTAATTATAGATTATTGTGGATTAGTATGTAATAATATTAATTGTTATTAATTATTTTGGACTATTATTAATTATTATTAATTGTTATGAAATATTATTTATAATGAACTATTATGGAATATTGTTTTTTTTAATTATTGTGCATTATTATTAATTATTATTAATTATTATTGAATATTATTTATTATAAATTATTATGGCATATTAATTACTGTAAATTATGATCTGTATTATTGATTAATATTAATTATTATGGAACATTTTTAATTATTATTAATTATTATGAATTATTATGAATTATTGTTAATTATTAATTATTATGGCACATTTTTAATTATAGATTGTCGTGGATTATTATGTAATAATATTAATTGTTATTAATTATTATGGACTATTATTAATTATTATTAATTATTATCGCATATTATTGGTAATTATTATGGAATATTTTCAATTATTTTCAATAATGTTTCAATTATTATTAATTATTATTAACTATTATGAAATATTATGAAATATTATAAATTATCAATAATAATTATGGCATATTATTAATTACTGTAAATTATAATGCGTATTATTAATTATTATTATGGAATATTTTTAATTATTATTTATTGTTATGGAATATTTTTAATTTTTATTTATTATTATTAATTATTATGAATTATTGGTAATTATTGTTAATTATTATTAATTATTACCGCATATTATTAATTATTATTAATTATTATGGAATATTTTCACTTATTATTTTTTAATTATTATTAATTATGGATTATTATTAATTATTATAAATTGTTATGAAATATTATTTATGATTAATTATGGAGTATTGTTAATTATTTTTTATTATTTTTAATCATAATAAATTATTGTGTACTATTATTAATTATTATTAATTATTATTGAATATTATTAATTATTATTAATTATTATTGAATATTATTAATTATTATTAATTATTATGGAATATTTTAATTATTATATATTATTATTAATTGTTAATAATTAATATGTATTGTTAATTATTGTGTGTTATTATATATTAGTATTGATTATTATAAATTATTGCGGATTATTAATGATTATTAATTATTAATGAATATTTTTATTTATTATTTATTATTACTAATTATCATTAATTATTGTGGATGATTATAAGAACATAAGAACATAAGAATTCGGAGCAGGAGTCGGCCATTCGGCCCCTCGAGCTGCCCCGCCATTCAACAGATCGTGGCTGACCTTCTCCCCTCACTCAGATTACCCCCATATCCCCCATATCCCCATATCCCCCATAACCCATATCCCCCATATCCCCATATCCCCCATATCCCCATATAGTGGGGATAGTTCTATCGTGGAGTCCTGTAGCTCAGTGGTTAGAGCACTCGCTTTGCAAGTGAGAGACCTGAGTTCAATCCCAGGCAGAGGGCCAAACCTCGGGCAAGTTTCCTTACTCCACACAGCGCCTAATAATAATCCCTCCAAAACCCAAAACAATAATAAATTGGTCATTTTCAATCCACGACTGTTTGTGGGACATTGCTGTGCGCAATTGGCTGCCGCGTTCGCCCACAAATATACAGTCAATCCACTTTACAGTGTGTTCTGTGAAGCGCTTTGGGACGTCCTCTCCCGACGTGAAAAGCGCTATATCAAATGCAAGGATTATTATTATTATATTATTATGTGAACTACAGTAAGTGTGAGTAGCTGTGTTAGTATGAGTGGGTGAGTGGGTGTGAGTGGCTTTGAGCTATATTACTTTTGAGTGAGTGAGTGTAAGTGTGTGAGTGAATGCGCGAGTGAGTGTGCGAGTGAGAGTGAGTGAGTGTGTGACTGAGTGTGAGTGAATGTGAGTGGTGTGAGTCAGTTTGAAAGGTTGTCAGCTACAGAAAGTGTGACTGTGTATGAGTATGTGAGTGTGTGTGAATGTGTGAGTGTGAATGGGTGTGAGTGAGTCTGAGTGGGCGTGAGCTACAGTAATTGTGAGTGGGTGTGTGTGATTGTGAGTGGGCGTGAGCTACAGTAAGTGTGAGTGGGTGTGAGTGAGTGTGACTGGGTGGGTGTGAGTGGGTGTGAGCTACAGTAAGTGTGAGTGTGTGTGACTGGGTGTGAGTGGGTGTGAGCTACAGTAAGTGTGAGTGTGTGTGTGTGACTGGGTGTGAGTGGGTGTGAGCTACAGTACGTGTGAGTGTGTGTGAGTGTGACTGGGTGTGAGTGGGTGTGAGCTTCAGAAAGTGTGTGTGAGAGTGGGTGTGAGTGGGTGTGAGCTACAGTAAGTGTGAGTGTGTCTGTTCTCCAGGTCTCAGCAGTTGGAGTTTCAGGAAGTTTTATTTTGGAGAAATCTTTCGAGGTCGAAAATGTTCGTCCGGGAAAAGTGAAGATTTATGAGTATTACGAACCCGGTAAATAATCAATAATAATATTATTACTATTCTTGATAAGAATTCACAATAACTATAAATAATAATGATTAATCATAATAGTCCTGACTGTTAATTAGTACTTTATTAATAATAATACTGTTTTAATTAATTATATTAATAACAGTGATAATAATTAATAATAATCAATCATAATCATTAATAACAAATACTAATAATTATTATCAATAGTATTCCTGGATTTTAGTTAATATTATTACTATTCTTGATAAGAATAGTATCAAGAATTGGTCCTACCAATGTCATTGGTCCCTATATGTACCATTACGATTGGATCCTCTCCCTCATGCCTCAAATTTATCTCCAGCCCGGCAGTGACATCCTTCACCCCGGCCCCAGGAAGACAACAGAGTCTTCTTGTCTCCCCGCTACGGCTACAGAAAACTGTATCAGTCCTCCCGACTGTCTCACCCCCAATAAGAATTACATTTTTAACCTCCTGTACAGGGGTGTTGGGGTCAGTTTGCCCGTCTTCCTCGCAGATTTCCTTGTCCACACAGGTTGTCAATATTTCATACCTGTCAGACAAGGCTAAAGTCTGAGATTCTTCAGCCCCTCTCTTTCGGGAACGCTTGCCTTCCCGCCTGACTGTCACCCAGTCATGTCCGTCGCTGCTATATTCTTCTTCTTTGGGATTCAGGGGAGTGTCCGGCTCCAGGATAAAGCTGTCCAGGAAATGTTTTCCATCCCTAATGCTGCGCAGCGTCTCCACCTGAGACTCCAGCTCAGCTACTCTCAGCTGGAGCTCTCTGATTTCCAGACACTTGCGGCAGACGAATTCGCCCAGACTTCAGGCACACTCCATTGACTCCCACATGTGACAGACCTCGCAGTTTACCTGCCACACCATCTTCACAAACTTTATATAGATACAAAGATATATAGCCTGCCCCCATTTCCCCCTCTGCACCTAATTCCCACTCTCACCAAATTCTCTCACACTCTGGCCTCGCCTCACTCCGGACGTAGCTCACTCTGGGCTCTTGGTAATGTCACGCGTAATGTCACGCGTAAAAGCATGTGATGAATGATGAAGATTCAGTTGAGAAATTGTCCAATGTGACACTAATCTCACTTCTCCTTTCCCAGACAATCACTGGGCTGTGAGTCCAGCTCAGCCCACACCTGCCTATCACGGCTTTACTCACAGCATTAACAATAACTTACTGCGGTGGGTGTCAGTGTGTATATGTGAGAGAGGCCCGTGTTGCAAAGTTCCTGTAAAAGTGACATTCTGGTTCCATCTGATCTCAGCAAAGAGACTGAAAGTCTGAGACTCTGATTCACAGATCTGAATATTGGTCAATATCCGTCTGTAAGTTGTTAGAATTTACACTTATTGTATAATGTTAGAATCATAATAGATGTTGCGAACGTGATAACTTTTAAGTTAAGTGTGGGGGTCAACTGGACTGAAACTCATGAGTTTACACCCAGGATCACGTGAGTGCCTCAAGGACAAGATGTGTACTACTGCCCTGCAAGTACACAAGATAACGGACTGTCTCAAGGACAGTGTGTTTGTGTGCTGAGGCACGTACACCCCATGAGATGTTCACTTGAACCCAGCATGATTTTGGCCAGGTGACCTAATGTCCGCACCATGATGGGATGGACACAAGCTTAAGACACGGTGCCAGACCAAGATCGGGGCCCGGGACAGTATCGACCGTGGGTGGAAGACTGAGAGCTCGAAGGCAGAAGTAGACGACCACGAGGAGCAATTACGCGGTAGTATTGTTCTGTTAGTGAATTGATTGATTGTGCTCACTTGCCCACGCCCATCGGGAACTTGGACAGATCCTGGAGTTTAATAAACACCACTCTGGTTGCAAACAGTGGTTGTGTTTGATTGGAACTCGAAAAGTTATTTTTCCTTAACAATTTGGCATAGTCGGCAGGATCGTTCAGGAAAGTGGGACGGAGTAAGTACAATCAAGCCTTGACGAAGCTTTATGTTAAGTTTTTAGTTATTTACTTATAAATGTTTAGTTTTAGTTATTCACCTATAGGTGTTAAGTCAGTGCAAACCGAGAGAAGGAAATCCCCTATTACCTCCGGGTAAGGAGAGGGACCGGGACCGATAGTAATTGAATGTTGTAGTATTTCAATTGTGACTGTGGTCGCTGGAAATAACCTGTTGGTTATGACTGAGCTGTGAATTTCGAAAGAAAGCTCATTAAGAGAGTTGGTACCGTGAGTCACGAGGTAAATTTCAACTGTTCCGACAGCCAGTGCAAACCGAGGAAAAGCCTCTATTATCTCAGGTAAGGAGAGGGACCAGGACTGTAGTAGTTGCTTTATTCCTATTGGCACTATGGCCCCGGGAAATAATATTGGTTGTGACTGGGCTGTGAACTTTGAAAGGAAGCTCATTAAGACGGTTCAGAAGTTGAAGCTGGGGGCGAACGATGAGAATATTCCGCAGCCAAGTGGCGCTACAGGGTATAAGGTAATAGTAGGAGGAATCGAGGAGTTAGGCACTCAGCGGAGGTTGAGTGATAGCGAGAAGGAAGTTTTATTGAAATACTGGGCTGTCGTGAGTTGCCAACACCGAGAAGGAGAAAGACGCATATGGTAGGAGGAGAAAAAACGTGAACAGGAGAGATTAAGAGGAGGAGCTCGGGAAAGTGAGGGAACAGGCTGCTAATTATGAGGCGGATTTTCATACCCAGCAGGAGCATGAGAGGGAAAGATTTCAGAAGGATCTGGAAGGAGCGAGAGAGCAGGCAGCAAAGTACAAGGTGGACTTCTACGCTCAGCAAGAGCGCGGGGAGTTCGAGCAAAGGGACTTAGAACGTGCGAATAAAGACTGAGAGATATACGACCCTCAGGGAATTTATAACCATCAAGGCGCTGTTTTAAATCTAACGGCTGCAAAATTTCGAGTAGTCGAGGAGCTTAAGGAGGAACGGTCACGAGATAAGGAAATGATTGCCGGGTTGAGACAGCAAAATGATGATTTGAGGGGAGCCCTGTGCTGCCAAGAAATAGGTAGACAGGAGCGAGTGGAGTTAGAAGAGTTTAGGAAAGGAAAAGAGGAAGAGAAGCAAGATAACGAACGGAGAAAGCGTTAGTAGTGGCGGTGTGCAACATTAAGCCTGTGATAAATGGGGTTTGTCAGGATGCCGACGATAATAATGTAGATTGGGGAGAGTTGGATGAAGAGGTAGTGTAGTACAATGAGGATGAAGGGTCAGGGGCACCCCTAGTAAAGGGTCGTGTTTGTCCGGTCAGCACTTCACAGCGTACCAAAGCGAATGGGAATGCTAGGGGACGGGACAAAACTGTCACCTCCCTGAGCCCAGGAGATGTGGTAATGTATTGTTCTCAGTTGGGGCCCAAATTAACTCAAGGAACCCAATGGCAACTCTGGATAAGGAAATTGGATACTTGGAAAATGGATAACGCTGACTTAACTCCCGCCGACTATGCTAGGACACTTAAGGCAATGTTAAGCTCGGATCTCCCTCTCCGAGGGGCTTTAGACCCTCGTACGATCCCAGGCGGAGTCGTTACCCCGGCCAATTTACAGGATTTCGAGGCAGAGGTGAGGCGAGCGCTGGCTGCCCACTCCAACCCCCTTGAAGATTTGACCTCATGTAAGTAGGGGACAAACGAGAGTCCCCTGGCTTTCCATCTCAGACTGTGGCAGCTATATTCGGCTAATCAGGAGAATGCCATGAATCGGCAACAATGGGAGAATTCTGTTAATTATAAAAAATGCTGGTTAGGGAAATTGAGTAAGAATACCTCTGCTGCTATGGGGTTAGGCATAGATCCCGCCTCCCTTTTTGATCAACTGACGGGAGCAGCCACTACGTGTCACGGGGCTCTTCGGAAAACTGTTAAAAGAGTGAAAACACAGAATCTGTGTGGCAGGTGGAGGGGCGAGAGCCGTGGAGACCACTGAATAATGGTCCGAGCCGAGGTCAGCCCTGAAGTCAGGGACCCCGAGATAGATCAAGGGATACATGCTATACCTGTGGTAAACGGGGCCATTGGGCTCCGGACTGTCCAACAGGGCGCAGACCCCGCGCACAGAGAGAGCAGAGTTTTTATGCTGACCCCAGACCTGATCAAGAGCAGCAAAACTATGAGCAATGGGAGCAGAAGTTAACCGTTCGTTAATCCGTTCGTTAAGCCAAGGAATCTTGACTCAGCTAGGCCTTAATCAGGGACGTGGAGGTGGCTCTGTCTCGGTTATAGTCGAGGGGAACCGACCATGCCCTCAGTGACGTGTTTCGGTCCCACACCCTGACGGCAGCCAAGTGAGCAAACGGTTGTGTATCCCCTTTAAGAAATGCGAGGGACCGAGGCCGTTTATATCCATGAAGGTGTGCGGGACCGTCCATGCTATTTTGGTAGATTCAGGTTCTACAGCCACTCTGCTTAATGTCGACAACCAACCACTTCCTCCCCTCACAGGTGAATGTTTGGACTTTTCTGGTGTGTCTGGTAGCCCTATGTATGGTCAAATGTTGTGGCCTTTTCCTGTACAATTGACTTGTAAAGCAACAATTGTTTTAAAACAGCCAATTGCTGTAAATTTAACCACTGAACCTGGTATCCTCGGAAGCGATGAACTAACCTCGTGTAACGCTCCACTTGACTATACTTATCATTGTTTATGGTTAGATCAACATCCTGGTCAGGGTCGGTTTTGTGAGATATTAGATTGGCATGCTGTGTGCGCTATTAAAAAGCCCACCCCGTACCCTCCAGTTCAGTCAAGTCACCCCTGGATTGGTCCATTATTATCCCAGTTTCCAGGTCTCCGAGCCACTCACAAACACGACTGTGGGAGGATGGCAGTACCTGAAGAGGTTAATGGTCCCACCCACCAGCCCTGTAAACAATACCCTTTGCCTAAAGAGAGTTTACCTTATGTCCAGGCAATTGAGAGTTTAAACAATTGAGAGTTTAAAGGACCAAGGTGTGATTCGTGAAGGGATATTTACTACTAACTCCCCTATATGGCCCGTTAGGAAACCTGATGGTTCCTGGCGGTTAACCATTGATTATCGGCAGCTTAATAAAATGACACCTGCTTGTGCCCCAGATGTAAGTGACATGAGCCAGCTTCTGAAGGACATCCCGTCTACTGCTAAATGGTTCTCGACCCTGGATATTTCAAACGGATTCTGGAGCATTCCTCTAAAACCAAAGGACCAGCATAAGTTTGCGTTTACGTTCAATGGTCAACAGTACACTTGGACTTTGTCGGTTTTTACTGGTCCAACTGCTACTGGTATCCTTAAGTCCCCGCTGGAGGTCTCCCTGGTGCAGTGTGTCGCCAATGTGTACATTGATGGCTCCTCCTTCCATGTTGATGGCAAGGCATTCACTGTTTTTTCCGTTATCCTCCCTGATCGTGACATTGGGTTCCGCTGCACACCACATTCTGCTCAATATGCTGAGTTGGCAGCACTCGTTGAAGCGGTACACCAGACTGCCAAAGTGGCTTCCAATATATGGTCCGACAGCGCTTATGTTGTAAGTACTGTGTTACTACTACTTTGAACTCTTCCCGAAATTTTTGTACCTCTGCAGGAAAGGCGTTGGTTCACGCATCACTTCTGAGATATCTGGCTGATGAGATATCCCGTCGCACCCATCCGCTGTATGTTGGTAAGGTGGCAGGTCATCAAAAGACTGGACCACACTCACACGGGAACAATCGTGCTGATGTCGTTGCTCACCAGTCCGCTCTTGATGGAGAAGCATTGATGTCTTCCCCTCTTCCATCTGCCTCAGTGATGAGTATCTCAACTTCGCCCTCTTTGACTGATTTGATTAAACTCCAGAATTCATATCTGCCTTACATCGAAGCCGTGCAGTGGCACCAGGAGCAACTTGCTGGACTTGACATCCATCCCGAACCACAATATGATTGGCTAATGCACACCCATTTGTATGTTCCTCTGGACTCTCTGGCCTCCCCTGTTCTCATGTATTCTAAGCACGATATCTCCACTGTGTGTATTCCCCCAGATTGTGCTGATGCGATGTTTCAATTATACCACTCACATCCTACTGGTGGTCACTTTGGTCCCTCAAAAACCATCACTAAGTTGTTGCGCTCTGTCTGGTGGTCTGGTTTGTTTCATGATGTTCGGGAACGATGTAAGACGTGCCTTGTGTGTCTCCAGCATAATCCCCCTCGATCTACTAATCGAGCGTTATTGCAGAGTGCACCCTCTCCCTCGGGTCCTTGGACCAATATTCAGATTGATCTTATTGGGCCATTCTCCACAATGGTGGTTACAATTACTGTTTAGTTATTATTGATAAATTTACAAAATGGATTGAAGCTTTCCCGACTAAAAATAAGACAGCGCTCACTGCTGCACGCATTTTATTGCGTGAGGTGATCTGCAGGTGGGGAATCCCTGGTATATTGGATAGTGATCAGGGATCACATTTCACGGGGGAAGTTTTTATCAAATTAATGGAATTGCTGGAAATTGATCACAAATTGCATGTGTCATACCATCCTCAATCCTCAGGGGAAGTAGAAAGAAATAACCGCACATTAAAGGTTTTGTTGTCAAAATTTTGTGCAGATCACCCCACGCAATGGATGAAGGGATTGCCACTGTGTCTAATGGCAATTCGCTCCACCCCACATGCTACTACTGGCATTTCACCCTATCAAGCGATGACAGGTCGGTTAATGAGGCCACCAGGTTGTACAGTAGTGATGACTAAACAAGCCCTCGAACAATTAGAGGGTAATGTTAAATTGCAGGGAACTGCGGAGGAGACATGGCTGAAAGAGATGCTAAAAATCATACAGGAAACCAACAGGTTTGTGGCTACAAACACTGGTACGGCGAAACAAAGTATGAAGCAACAATTTGACACTACTGTTAACCATGTGGAGTATGAAATTGGAGATGAAGTCATGGTCCGCGCGTATGGGAAAAAGGAATCTCCTTTTGCCCCGCGATGGAAAGGGCCTTTTGAAATTTTGGAAGAGGCAAGCCCGGCAGTATATTTAATTGCCACGTCTTCGTCTTCTAAATTGACTAAATGGTACCATGTGAATCAAGTCAAAACTGTAAAGAAGGGGAAAGGATAAACTGATGACTGAATATATACTACATTTGTATTTTGCAGGCACCAACAGAGTGATTACCGGATCTTCTGTATCAATATGGATCTGGATGGAATTACTGGAGGCCTGGTGCTTGGCGTTGTAATACTACTAATCCAGAACTGCCATGTTTACTGCCCCCTTTGATGGAAACCCTCATAATATTTTCTTATTAACAGCTTATAGATATACACAAAATAACTAGGTGTCTAGTTGTTATGTGTGCGCTAATATGCCAACATCTGTTAAACATAGAATACCGGTCAGGGCCATTCCTGGCAATATTAGCTCAACTGCATTTTGGTATTACAACCAAAATCAGACGAATGTTGACCACGCGCCTGCATGTGACTGGTCAATTCCTATTGGGGACGATCGAAGACGGTGGGAATCGGCAGGGTATAATTTTAAGGAATACCGTGGGTATTACCAACCACCATATGATGTTACCCTCTCACCCCCGAAATTAAGTGTTCCCAACCCCCCTTCAGGTGAGATCTGCATCTCCCGCAATATAACTGGGGGATTTCCTGAAGAAGAGAGCAAATGTGCCCAGACATTTGTGATAGGTAACGGTCCGTGTTCCCACCCACGGCATTGGCTATATACCATCCTCAGTTTCAAAAACTTCACCACAGGTACTTCCTTTAGCCAAGTTTGGTTTCCCCTGAGGTTGGGACCCAACATTACTGCGTATAACAACACTTATTTTGTATGCGGAAACAAGGCCTATCCATGGCTGCAGTTTAATTGGACAGGGAAATGCTATCTCGCTTATGTTGTCCCAGGTCTAAGACACACCTATAAGTTATTAAATGACCACCATATTAACAAAAGATCCATCACTAAGGCCGAACGTTTCTTTGCTATTGCTTTTCCCATGTATGGAACTTCTAAGCTTTCCCAAGAGAGCATTAGTATGGCTAAAATCCTTGAGCAGGTGGCAAATGATACAGCAGAAGCTGTTGACTCTTTGACAGAGTCTTGTAAAATTGCATGGCATTAGATTTCGTGTTGGCCAAAGAAGGAGGTGCATGCGCCGTAATTGGGTCTGAGATAACTCCGAGAATGTATGTAGCTTGACTGATCATATCCGGAAAGAGATGGATAAATTGAAGCAGACCCCACCTTCATCTCTTTGGGCATGGACCACTGCTTGGTTGGGTTCTATTGGAAGTTCACTGTTACATGGGCTAATTATTATTGTTGTGATTTTGCGTTGCGTTTATTGCGCTGTTACGGGTGTGAAGTTTATTTTTCTTAAAGTTATGTCTAGTGTGGTTTCCTCTGAGGTATCCTTTGTAGGGAATGATGGAAACTATTGTTTCCTGGAAGTACCACCCTCCCTCCCAGGTTGTGTGATTTTTTTTATTACCTTCCTTTATACCATTTATACTTTCTATACTTTTATATTATCTGTCTTTTATACTATCAGGTTGTGTAACCTTATATTATTTTCCTGATTTTATACTGTATTTCTTTTGTCATTTTGTGATACCTCATGTAATTCGGTGAATATACAGTCAATTCACTTTACAGTGTGTTCTGTGAAGCGCTTTGGGACGTCCTCCCGATGTGAAAAGCGCTATATCAAATGCAACGATTATTATTATTATTATTATTATCAAGGTGGGGACTGTCAGAATTTACACTTTTTGTATAATGTTAGAATCATAATAGATGTGGCGAACGGGTTAACTTTTAAACTAAGTGTGGGAGGCTACTGGACTGAAACTCCTGAGTTTACACCCAGGATCACGTGAGGGTCTCAAGAACAAGATGTGTACTACTGCCCTGCAAGTACACGTATATTCTGTGAAGCACTTTGGGACGTCTAGAAGACGTGAAAAGCGCTATATCAAATGCAAGGATTATTATTATTGTTATTATAACGGACTGTCTCAAGGACAGTGTGTTTGTGTGTGTGAGGCACATACACCCCATGAGATGTTCACGTGAACCCAGCATGATTTTGGCCATGTGACCTAATGTCCGCACCATGGACACAAGCTTAAGACCTGGAGTCTTAAGTCTAAGACTTGGAGTCCTGTAGATCAGTGGTTAGAGCACTCGCTTTGCAAGTGAGAGACCTGAGTTCAATTCCAGGCAGAGGGCCAAACCTCGGGCAAGTTTCCTTACTCCACACAGAGCCTAATAATAATCCCTCCAAAACCAAAAACAATAATAAATTGGTCATTTTCAATCTACGACTGTTTGTGGGACATTGCTGTGCGCAATTGGCTGCCGCGTTCGCCCACAAATATACAGTCAATTCACTTCACAGTGTGTTCTGTGAAGCACTTTGGGACGTCCTCCCGACGTGAAAAGTGCTATATCAAATGCAAGGATTATTATTATTATTATTAAGACACGGTGCCAGACCAAGATCGGCGCCCAGGACAGTACCTATCGTGGATGGAAGACTGAGAGCTAGAAGTCAGAATTAGACGACCGCGAGGAGGGATTACGTGGTAGTATTGTTCTGTTAGTGAATCTATTGATTGTGCTCACTTGCCCACGGTCATCGGGAACTTGGACAGATCCTGGAGTTTAATAAACGCCACTCTGGTTGCAAACAGTAGCTATGTTTGATTGGAACTCGAAAACTCGTTTCTTTTCTAACAGGCAAGTGAGGAAGAGAGGCGAAGGGATCATGGGATGGAGTTCCAGAGTGTGGGGTCAGAGAGGCTGAAAGACCGGCCACCGATGGTAGGGCGGGTCGGGTGGGAGACAGGGAGCAGACCGGAGCCCGCTGAACGGAGGGTTGGTAGGGAGTCAACAGGTCCGAGAGGTAAGAGGGGGCAAGGCAATGGATGGCATTAAAAGTGAGAATGAGGATCTTAAACTCGATCCTCTGGGCGATGGGGAGCCAGTGGAGTCGGGGGAGGTTGGAAGCGATGCTGTCATGAAGCCCTTTGCGTGAGATTGATCTCCCTCCACACCCCCCCTCCCTCTCCTCGTTAAGTACTCAAGGATGCAATTTAAAGGGTAATAATAATAATCCTGGCTTTTGATGTAGCGCCTTCTCACGTCTTCGAGACTTCTCAAAGTGCTGTGCACATTATACTGCAAAGTGCAGTGACTGTATGTTTTGTTTGTAAAATGCGGCAGCCTATTGCAGACAATGTGGAGTAAAGAAACTTAGAACATAATTAGGAGCAGGAGTTGGCCATTCGGCCCCTCGAGCCTACCCCGCCGTGCGATCAGATCATGGCTGATCTTCAGACCTAACTCTGATTATCTGCCCTATCCCCATATCCCCCAATCCCTCTATTTTTTAAAAAATCTCTCAGTCTCAGCCTTGAAGATGTTCAAGGACTGACATCTACAGCCCTTCTGGGGAGTGAATTCCATAAATTCACTGCCCTCTGAGCGAAGAAATGTTTTCTCAACTCGGCTCACACTTATTTTTCAGACTGTGACCCCTGATTGTAGATTCTCCTATTGGGGGAAACAGACCCTCAGTGACTACTTTATCAGCCCTTTAAGAATCTTATATGTCTCAATAAGATCTCCCCTAATTCTTCTGTACTCTGGAGAATACAGCCCTCGTTTATTCAGCCTCTCCTCATAGGTCAGTCCCCTCATCCCAGGAACTAACCGAGTGAATCTACGCTGCACCCCCTCGAGGGCAAATATGTCCTTTTTTAAATAAGGACCAAAACTGCACACAATCCTCTCGGTGCGGTCTCACCAAAGCCCTATACAGTTGCAGTGAGAATTCCATCTCTTGTACTCTGAACCTTTTGCAATGATCGCTAACTGCCGTTCGCCTTCTTAGTTGCTGCTGCACTGCAAACTAACTTTCTGAGACTGGTGTACAAGGACACCCCAATCCCTCTGAACACTAACACTATCTAATCTCTCCCCCTCTAGAAATAATCTGTTTTTCTATTTTTACCACCGAGGTGAATAACTTCACACTTCCCCACATTAAATTCCATCTGCCACCGACTCGCCCACTCCCCTCGACTATCTATATCCCTTTGCAATCTTTTTGCATCATCCTCAGAGCTCACTCTCCCACCGAGTTTAGTGTCATCCGCAATTTAGATACGTTACATTCAATGTCCTTGTCCAGGTCATTGATGTAGATTGTAAATAGCTGAGGCCCAAACACTGATCCTGTGGCACTCCTCTAGTCACCTCCTGTCAATTCGAGAATGACCCGTTTATCCCTACTCTCTGTCTTCTACCCGTTAGCCACCCGTTATCCATGTTAATATGTTCCCATTAATCCCGTGGGCCTTAACCTTGTGCAATAGTCTTTTGTGTCGCACTTTGTTAAATGCCTTTTTAAAATCTAAATGTACTATATTTCCTGGTTCCCTTCTATCAAACCTGCAGATACATCTTCAAAACACTCTAAAAGATTAGTGAAGCGTGACTTCCCTTTTGTAAAGCCATGTTGACTGCCTCATCTTGTTATGGTCTTCCAGGAATCCCATAATGACATCCTTAATTAAGGACTCAAAAATTTTCCCAACCACTAAAGTCAGACTAACTGGTCTACAGTTCCCCATCTTTTCTCTCCCACCCTTCTTAAATAGTGGTGTCACGTTTGCAATCTTCCAATCAATGGGAACCGTTCCAGAATCCAGAGAATTTTGGAAGATCAAAGACAAGCCATCCACTATCTCAGTAGCCACCTCTTTTAAAGCCCGAGGATGTAGGCCATCAGGTCCAGGAGATTTATCAGTATTAAGACCTGACAATTTTGACGGTGCCTTCAGCTCCCCTCTCGACTCTCTACCCCCTCCTCGCTCCCTCCCTCCCTTCCCTCACCCTGACCATCTCCCCCCTCCTTGCTCCCTCCCTTCCCTCCCCTCACACTGACCATTTCCCCCCTATTCGGGTCCTGACCTAACTGTACAGCGCCTTGGGACGTCCTCCCGACGTGAAAGGCGCTCAATAAATAGAATCTTGTTGTTGTTGTTTACCTAAAACCGTTTCTTTACTAATATTAATTCCCCCAAGTTGCTCGCTAACATTTCCTCCTTGGTTTCCCTCTATTCTTGGTAGGTTTTCAGTGTCTTCTAAGGTGAAGACAGTAGCAAAGTAGTTGTTTAACGACTCTATCTTTGTCCCCTACTATAATTCCCCCCGTCTCTGCCTATAACGGACCCACATTTACCTTTGACAGTCTCTTCCTCTTTATATATTTATAAAAACTCTTGCAGTCTGTCTTCATGTTCTTCGCTGGTTTGCCCTCATATTCCCTTTTCTCCCTCCTAATCACTTTTTTGGTTCTCCTTTGTTGATCCCTAAAGTTCTCCCAATCCTCGGGTTTACTGCTCATCTTAGCTGTTTTATAGGCTTCTAACTTTATACTGTCCCTGACTGCTCCAGTTAGCCACGGTTGGGCCACCTTTCCGGTGGCATTCTTATTCCTCAAAGGAATATGTGCTCACTGGGAATTTTGCACTATCTCCTTAAACGTCTGCCATTGCTG